CCGCTCGGAGGCTTCACCCTGCTCGCGGCCACCACGTCGCCACCACCCTGGCCCGCCATCCTCACCGCGACCGCTGTCGGTGTCACCTCTAGGGTTGCGGTCGCCGGCGGCTCCCAGTTCTTAAGAACCTGGGTTAGGACCTCTTGCATCGTCGCCGCCAGGACTCTGCAAATGTTCTCAGCCACGCTCTTGCCCATCTCTTCGATGGAAGCCTTGATCTGATCGCCCATGGCTTCGATTGCCCCGATCGAGCCCCTCGAGGCCTCAGCTGCCCTCACAGTAACCTCCGTCAGGCTTTCCAACGATGCTGCCATCGCATCATACTTGCTAGTCGTCACATCCTTGATCGTCACGACCTCGTTGTTCTGGTGCGGCGGTTGTTGTTTGTCTGTAGGGCTTGACATCTTCGGATTGCACTGTTTCTTCAAAGAATCGGCACACCAGCCAGGCTCTGATACCACTGAAAGAGCACGGATCTAGGTGTGCGATTAGGGATTGCGATTGGTGTGAGAATTGGGGATTTAGGGGTGAGATGGAATAGGAATTAGGGTTGAGAGGCAGAAGAATTCGGTCACCGGGATGATGGCCAACGGGTAGAGAGAGAGAGGAAGGGGGCTCGGCTAGAGAGAGGGAGAGAGAGTGTGTAGGGAATAATTCTATTGTTATTGTTTAACCCTAGCTTAGGCCTAACACAGAATATATATAATCCGACTAATTCCCTATAACTACCCAAAGTCTTAACCTAACCGATTTAACCCCAATAATTCCCGAAATATTCGACATAACGCAAAACGTCCAAATAACAAAGAAACCCCCAATTAACGAATATCTAACAAACACCCAGTGGATCCTTGACTGGTCATTAGTCACACCCCACCAGAACCGAGTTGCGTGCTTGTCTAGAAGCCTACAAAGGGACAACGACATCTTGAAGCAAGACATAACATGCAACGGTAATGCTAAAGCAATGGATTTAATCAATGTCTCCTTCGCCTCCCAAGATAAAGTACGTTGCTTCTACCCTTGTAATTTCTCCAGTAATTTTTCTTCCAGATAGCGGAAGGTAGCCATTTTTTAGCGGGCAATCAAAGTCGGCAACCCCAGGTATTTATCATGAACCCTCACCGCGCCCACCCCCAGAATTGCAGCCAGAAACTCCTGGTCCTCTGGGGCTATGTTTTTACTAAAGCAAACAGCTGACTTGTCTAAGTTCACACGTTGGCCACTTAACTCCTCATACTCATTCAAGACTTCGATCAGATTCTCACATTCCTGGAGATTACCTCGCAGAATACAGTAAGAATCATCTGCAAAAAACATATGCGAGATACGAGGAGCAACTTTCACACCTCCCAGCCGCTTGTTAGCTATTGCCTTGCGAAGAATAGAAGCAAAGCCTTCCGTACAGAGCACAAACAGGAGAGGAGAAAGAGGGGCCCCTTGTCGAAGCCCACGGGAAGGCAAGAAGTATCCCGACGGGGTACCATTCATGAGTACCGAGAAAGAAGTTGAGCGAAGGCATTCATGGATCCATCCTATCCACACGGAGTTAAATCTCATTTTTTCCAAGATTGCAAGCAAGAACGGCCATTCAACTCTATCATAGGCCTTTTCCATGTCAACCTTTAGAGCCATGTACCCTTTCTTGCCGCGTGTCTTGATTTTCAAATAGTGCATCAACTCGTGCCCTACCAGGATGTTCTCAATAATTTGCCTTTCGCGGATGAAAGCATTCTTCCCTTCAGAAACAATTCTTGGTAGGATATTAGCCAGCCTAGCTGCCATAATTTTTGTAATAATTTTGTACACAAATTGGCACAAGCTGATAGGCCGCAATTGCCTCATATTTTCAACATTCTCCACCTTGGGTATCAATGTCAGCCATGTATGATTCAAGATCTGAAGCATCCTACTAGTGGCAAAGAATAAACAGACAGCTGTAAGCACTAAATTCCCAACAATATCCCAAAAGGCTTTGAAAAATTTCCCCGTAAAGCCATCCGATCCAGGAGCCTGTTTGGAACCCATGGCAAAAACCATCTTTCGAACCTCTTGGGCATAACCTTAGCCGTTAGCACATCATTCATCTCCTGGGTTACACTCTGAGCGATAGAAAGACCCGCCACCCGATTGGACATATTCATCACTTGATTTTCCGAGGTGAAAAGATGCTGATAAAAGTGACAGTTCTCTTCAGTAACCCAGTCACCATTCTCATTATAGAGGCCAGCGACAAAGTTTCTTTTCCTCCGAGTTCTAGTGACTGTATGAAAATACGAGGTGTTCTTATCACCTTTTTTGAGCCAATGCACCCGGGATTTTTGTTGCCAGTACAACTCCTCAGCCTCCCATTGGCGATTAAGTTCCATCTCCAGGACTTTCACCTCCTCCCAATTTATGGGATGGTTGGACTTGATGTGTTCAATCTCCGCTTGGAGGGTCTTGATATTGCGAAGCGAGTTGGTAGTCCCAGCCCTACTCCAGTCGTAGAGAAGATGTCTCAAGTTTTTAAGTTTCTCCCATAGCTGGTACATCGTGGTCCCTGACATTGGCTCCTGCCACACATACCTAACCATCGCCCTAACTTCAGGGTTGTCCGCCCATCGAGCATCAAACCTGAATGGAGGGCGACTTTGTCGAGCATATGGTCTGTCTGCGACGAGCAGTGCCCTATGATCCGATACGAGGTCTGTACAATGTTTGACAAGAGTATTAGGGAATTGTTCCACCCACAGATGGGAGCAGAGGGCCCTATCAAGTCGTTCGCGAATGCATGCATTTCCAAGGCGCTTGTTTGTCCAGGTGAAAGTATCCGCCTGATAGCCGGGATCATGGAACCCAAGATCGATGATAAAGTCACGAAGACTGATCGATTGCGTACTATTCCAAGCATTACCCCCATCTTTTTCATGTTCGTGCAAGGTGGTATTGAAGTCACCAATAACCACGAAAGGGAGATGGATAGTGTCACATATTTCACGAAGATGAGCCAATTGCATGGCTCTGATAGAGGGATTACAACTAATGTAAACACAAAAAACAACGTAAGAAAAATCCACTTCATTGATTTGGACTCCAATACAAAAATCTGAATGAAAAAACACCGAAGCAACAACAAAACCACCGATGCATCAATAGCATCCACAAAAAAAATGTGTGAAGACTCAAAACCTAAACCCCGCAAACGACTGGAAACTAATGTCCGGCGAGCTCTTGTTTCTGAAAAGAAAACAAGGTCCGGTTTATTCGAATGAACTAAACTCAAAGCAGTTTGGAATGTGAGGGATGGTCCAATTCCTCTCACATTCCAGGCCAGAAGCCTCATTTATCTTGCTGGGACCACTTTAGGTTGGTTTCCTCCACCGTAGTAGCAGCCAGCAGTATCTCGTTCCTCCACAAACTATCTTTTTGGTGTAGGGTGCTCGCATTCGTCCCCATCCACCTTCTGGAATGACCTTTTTCTTTCTCTGTTTTGTATGGCATCATAATTGGACCCATATTCATTTAACTCCCCGAGATCTCCAATCAAGTCAGAGGATTGCTCTCCCAAGAGCCCGCCAACGAGCGTGCTAGGCGCTTCATTTGGCGGAGGAGAGGAGAGGAATGGGATTTTCTAAGGCTTCGTCCCGCCTCGAACGCGCGCACCACTTGCTGAACATGCCCATTTTTTGACCGTTCAGCAGTCGGCCTTCTACTTTTGAGCTCAAAACAATGCATGTCTCCCTCTGGACTCGTCTCAGTTGACTCGGTCCTTCAAACACCATCCTGAACAGGATTGAGGGCGGCTTTAATTGGGGAAGGGGCATTCGCCATTCCTTCCTTTATAGGAACATCCACACAGGCTCCATTATCAACCACCGCAGAATTTGTAGTCTTCCGGGGTGCGTTGTGCGACCTATTCCCCACAAGCTTCCCCCTGGTTTTTTTGGCAGCAGCATCTTCACTTGGCGGTTGGCGGACTTTAGCTTTGGAGAGGCGCCTTGGGGCCGTCTGGCTGGGTGGCTCACCCTCCACATTAGGCTCACTGGGAGCAGTGCTCCCCCGCCCCCGACGACTGTTTTCAGTTCCATTGAGTGTCCAACATCCCTAAGAGAGGCAAACAATGGTGCCATCTCTTCTTCCGATTCTTCCTCCAACAGCAATTGCCTCCTTCGATATTGACTTTCGACAGGGTGAACAAGGTTAGCCACTGCGTGGGGAGGGTTATCAGTGTCCATCCTCGGGGAGATAGGATATTCGTTCACGCTACCCACAGCCGTAGATGGATGATTTTATCGTTCACCGCCCAAGGAGTTCGTTTTAAAACCCAAATTTTGGATTCCTCATTGGGGAGGACGAACTCAAATAAGCCATGCTTGGCTTGCAGTACTTTGATCCTACCCTTGATCCTCACTCACATGCGAAGACATCGTGTTCTGCAAAGAGGAGGAATAACAGTATTATCAATGGTAATCACTGGTGGCCGCAACTCTTGGCCCAACGGGGCGCACAGAGTGAGGATAGAACTGAGCTGTTGTTCCTCTTTATCAGAGCCGCAAGCAACCGCAGGGGATGGTGATTGGATTCAAATAATAATTGGTTTAAGGCGGAAGAACTGATCTCGTTCCAAATCGGGCTAAAGGCGGATGCTTGCCAACAAATGGGCAGCAAGTATTTAACTACTGAGATCTGCGAAAACTCCATCTCAGGTAGAAATTATTGCTTAAATGGAGCTTGCAAAGCCTTTTCTGGGGGAAGCCAACAAAGGGAAGAACTTCAATGGGACCTAGAGATATGCAAAGGAACTCAGACCATCAAATGAAGCAGAATTCGACGAGGAATACCTCCTGGTATTGACCAGCCATCTGAGAACATTCTAGGTTAAAATCAAATGTACAGATCAACTATCTAGGTCTAATGGTATCAAATCATTTCACGATTACCTGAGTTCTTGTGCTGTGATGGTGTTGGTTTGCATATCCTGCGTGCCACTTTCGTGGATAGATGAATCATTCTATCGTCAACAAAATACCTCTTGATTGGATTGTAATGAAAACATGGATCTAGTTTGATCAAGTTCGATCCATGAGAGAAGGGCATATCAGAGGAATAAATCGAAAAGAAAGCAAGTCGAAACTGCAGTGAATACACTCTTACAAAAGTACTTATAATACTTCATGCAGTAGTGCATTGCATGCTCTTCTTAACAGAACAAAGCCACGTCTCAAACTTGGATTAACACTACTAGTCTAATAGGCAGCTAAAAGCAAGGCAAGAGCTTGAACCAACGATTATCCTGAACCGAATAATTCAGATTCGCATGAACAAAACACACCGACCTCGCCATCAGTTGAGTCTATCACATTGTCCACGTCGTCAGTCCCATCATCGATGTAATCATCATCATTCGTCGCTGTCCTCAAAGTCATCAGACTCATCAAAATCAGAATCGTTGTTGCTATCGCCATAGAACTCCTCGCCAAGAAGAAAAGTCTGAACTTTGCATGCTCTTGATCGTCTTGGCAATTTCAGCAGTGATAAAAGCCCTTTTTTGTCTCTCCCAATATCATCATCAAACAAGTAAACGTTCACCTTCTTCAGTACAGCTCCAACCTTGAGCAAATATGCTACCATTTTCATATCGTCCTTTTTTATTACAAAATCTTGGATCTCAATTTCCTCGAGGCTATACAACAAGCACTTGGGGGTGCACGCAGGTTCCGACTTCCAATTCTTTGCAGAAAATTTCCCATCAAATTCCTGGCCATCATGAAACAAAACTCAGGCACATTCATCATAAATCCCATGTTAACAGTAGTTAGAGTAAGGAATAAAAAGGGTACATATGGCCCTCAAATGAATACTACTCACCAAGTCAATGACGAGAGATTGTAATTTGGGGGCTGAGCTGAGCAGTGAATGCAGAAGGCTGCTTCTGCATCCATCAGATTTGATTGTCAAGCGTGTCAAATTGGGAAAGCTAGGCAGCTGGACATCACCATTGGCAACTGCAAGAGGAGCCTGGAACACAAAAACAACAACTCTTCAATTAAACTAAATGAAGGTAGAACAGAGGTGTGCAATCCGGTAGAGAAAGAGAAATGTTGTTGAAACATTACAAGAGTCTCCCATCTTAAGCACATTTCCTTTGCATTGCAGATTTGGTTGAGGAAACCAATCAAGCAACCATCTGAGATTCGGCCCTCAACCCATGCTGAAACAAGGTATGGCATTTGACTAATGCCCAACCATTGAAACCCTAGAAAATACCGAATATGCAGATGCTCGAGACTCGGTGCTTCGATGGCGATGGGAAAGAACTTCCTAGTATAACCAACAATCGTCAGATTCTTCAAGTATGGCAAGGAAGCAGTGAGTGTGCCTTTTTCATCCATGTTTGAGTAGCAGTTGTCCAGATGAGCAGTCTCTAAAATAGGGCAGCCAGAAATGAGCCTCCTTAGTGACTCACAGTCCATAGTCTCCACATATAAAAGCTCCAAGATCTGTAAACTAGGAAGAAAAACAGACCCGTCTTCAGTCACTACTATCACAACACGTTCGAGCTTCAATTGTTTCAGATTCCTCAAAGCGTAGAAGGCCGCAGGTAGCCTACGCATGCCAGAGAGATGTCTAAATCGGTCGAACCCATCAAAACTAACATCGATTTCCTCAAGCTCAGACTCCTCAGCAGCCAATTCCAGTTTTGACCAGTAATCTGGACTAACCTCTTCCTTGAAGTGCTCCAGTGAAAAATGGAAGCGGAAACGCCTCAGAGAGTTGAGATTCTGGTGCTCGCTCAGAACCCTATCGACGAAGCGGCAGAACTCCAAGTCTCTCGTCTCTTGATTCGACGGCGTACCGCCGTTAGTGGCCAAGCTGTTGTCGAGATTGAGACTGGAAACCCTGGTCCAGCGATTCTTCCAGCGTCGGCTCAGTACGGCGGTGCCAACGGCGTGCTTGGTTTGCAGGAAAGAGAGGATGCGGGAGAGTATTCGGTCCGATAGGAAGCTGAGCCTGTCGCCGCCGATTCCCGGCTTTCCGACCTTCCGGTCATGACACCTCGGGATTTTGGTGGGGTTCATAATTCAGTCTTGTAAATGGAATCAGCAATGACACACGAACTAAGAAGGGAAAGAATAAATAGAGGGACGGCTGCAGGAAATGAGTGAAGAAAGCGAAACGGCGCGGGGGAAATGGAATGAATTGAAAAGGGTAAATTGCAAGTTTGGTTACTTAAGTTACTGAAAAATGTCACGTTTGTCATTAAAATTAGTTTATTTCATTCACGGTCACTTAAATTAGTTTAACAGTCCAATTTTGGTCACTGACGTTAGTTTCCGTTAACTTTTGCTGATGTGACAGTCAACTCTCATAATTGACCATTAAATGAATGACTTGGCAATTGAAAAAATAATAAATTATTAAATTTAATAATTTTTTATTTTCCATCTAATTATTATAAAAAAATTAAAACAAATCCTAATTCTTTTAATTCCCCACCTCACACACTTTGATTGCCATCATCGTAGACTTCTTGCCCTCCGGCGATTACCTCGCCGAAGAGCATTTCAATGCTCCCAACCATTCGTACTTGCCTCTCCTTCCCCATTCGCTCCTCCAAACCCCTAGACGTAAGAGATAGCCCCGAAAACAAATTATGACTAACGTCGGATGCGAAATGGGGAATTGCCACCGTCTCCTCCACCACCCCACTTCTCCCCGCGCTACGAATCTAATCCAACATTCAATCATGATATCTCCCCAAATCGTTAATTTCCAATCCATTCAACTCTCACTTCCTTCTCCACAACCGCCCACCGTCGTCTCTCAATCTCTCATTCCACGCCGACCCACATCAAATGTCTCGTTAAATATCGTGACTTTCGCCGAAGGTTAGTCAATTCAGCTTGGTTGCGAAGAACAACGACCTAGATTCTTTTTCCGCCGTTGCCACGCCGCCGCTGGGTACCTTGCAGTCTTGCACGTTGCTCACGACATGAGCGTGGAAATTTTCCGTAGTTTCAATTCTAACGTTGGGCAACACAATGGCGAGAAGAAGAGATGTGTCTGAATTCGTAACCCCAAACCAAAAAATCAAATCGGCTAGAGTAAATCTCACGCTTTTCTATTTTATTCCCTCCAGAACCTTCTTCTCCCTCCAATTCCAATCTCGTCGGAGCTCTCCGGTCTCTGATTCCTCTCGCCTTGGGCTCTCGTTTTGCTTTGCCTCTCTGTTATTAGCTCTTGCCTCTTCCATTCTCTTCTGCTCTTCGTTTGACAGGTAATTCTCACTTAAATTTCGAGATCTTTTAGGTGGAAAGGAATCGAGGTCGGCGGTGGATAATGATGGTGGGTGGTCAACTCTCATTAACTTTCCTCTCCCGTTATATAAAAATAAGTTTTGTTTTTAAATAATTGTAAAATGAGCTGAAAAATTTAAGAAATTGAAAATTTTATTATTTTATTCATTTTTAATTGCCACGTCAATAATTTAAACTGTCACATGAGCAAAAGTTAACGGAGACTAACGGTCAATGACCAAACTTGAATTATTAAACTAATTTAAGTGATCATGAATGAAATAAGCTAATCTTAGTGGTAAATTTTTCAATAATTCAAGTGAACAAACTTGCAATTTACCCGAACTGAAAATATGGGTCTGGGCTGGAGTAGAAATAGAATCGTGGGCCGGGCAGCTTTGCAGGATATTGAGCCCAGTTTACCGAGCTCCAACATTTCAAGAAGCCTAGGTACGTAGCTCTTTTTTTGTTTTCGTTTTTAATTTGCAGTTTGTGGTTTATCCATTTATTTTATTCAACTTTCAAAGTAAGTGATCTTTTCATATGTTGAGCCAAAAAAGTTAATGGTTGGTTGTTCAATGGTCAATCGTCATAAAACTATTGGTTAGACATAACCGTTCATGTGTTATAACATAAAAGATACATATAATATACTAATTTAGGAGTGAAATTATTACTAACCATAAACAAATTCAAATTCATATCATCTATCACCAAAAATGTTATAACAAAAAATTCAAACTATCTTACTGTTGAAATCAAACTTTTTTATTAAATTCAAGTTAGTAATCAATGTGACAATCTGTAGTGGACGACATAAAACTGACAAGGAGGCTGAGAAATGAAGAAAACGAAGCGTAAATAAAATTGGTGATTAAGGTTGGATGATCTTAGTTTACATTCAAGTTTTTTTCTTAATTTTTTTTTTGTTAAAAGTGTGAACCAGTGGACCAGTCAAACCGGGGTGGTTCATTTGGTTCCATGTCAAACCATCAAAAACCGTTGGGTCCATCGTAAATCGTCAATCAAATGAACCGACCACTATTATAATTGATTTAGTGGTTCTACTGGCCCACCATTGATTTGATTTGATTCTTCATTCTTATAACAATGATAAATACTTAGGATTTAGTTCGCAAGTTCATCAATCTAAATAACTGTTTACACCGGAAAAATAACTTTGTACCACATCAAGTATTTACAAGGCATCTATTGTCTTTATAAGGCCAGATCAATAATAACAATTAATGTTGTTTAAACTGGGTCTTATGGTACTCGATTTTTAAGCCCAAACAACTAAATCTCCGAGAATGAACTAATCTCGTCACGAGATAAGACTAAGTCTAGTAGACCACGTTGGTCGCGAGATCTAGAGGGCCTTCAGCGTGAGATCTAAATCTAGACCATGTCGGTCGCGAGATTAGATCTAGACAGCCTTCGTCGCGAAATCTAGATCTAGACCACAATGTCCTCAAGTGGGCATTACCACGTGGAGTTTCAAGGAGTATATAAATTGACTAAGTCTGATCTATACCTCATTGGTTGTGAGATTAGGGTCTTTCGTCGTGAGATCTAAATATATACCACTTTGGTCGTGAGATCTATAAGGCCTTCATCGCGAGAATTACACAACCTTCGCCGCGAGATCTAGATCTAGTCCAAACGGCCAAGTCTTCGAGAGGGCACTAGTTTCATCGCGAGGAAGCTAAGTCTGCTAGAGCACGTTGGTCGCGAGATCTAGACGACCTTTGTCGTGAGATCTAGACCACGTCCAAGATCTAAACCAACGAGTTGGACGTAAGAAGACAAGCTATGTGGGGAGAGGGAAGCCACGGAATATACTAAATATGAGAGCTAGGCCACTAGGGGTGGGCATTCGGTCGGTTCGGGTTCGACAGAACATAAATTATGAATACCGGGTATCCGAATTCTCCCAAACCTCAAACCGAATTTGAACCGAATTATAATTTGGTTCGGTCGTTTTAAATCGAATTATAATTCGCTTTGGTTCGGTTTTTCACACAAAACCGAATTTGTGAGGCTACTTGTATCTTCTCACTTTTAAAGTATTTTTCACCCTTATATAAACAATAAATATGCAATTATATGCATCATCAATGATAAAATCAAACTTTTCAACACATAAGTCATAAAATATTTCAAATATTTAAGTCTAAAAACTACCATTTGGAGCTTGTAATTATAGTATTTCGGTTTTTCGGTCGGTAATTCGAAATTTCGGTTCGGTTGAAAGAACCATAATTTCCGAAATATCCATATTTTTCTTCCGAATTCCGAACCATTTGCCCACCCCTATAGGCCACGTCAGTTACGAGGGAGTTAAGTCCTAGACCACGTTGGTCGTGAGATCTAGACGTCCTTCGTTGACTCGTTCCAAATACAACATCCCAATCTCCGGCCAAGTATAACCGCCGTCCGAGTGTAGCATAGGGCAAGCAAGCAATAATAATTTATCGTACCACGGGGATCTAAGCTTACCCTACTTCGGGTTTAAGTTTCATTATCTAGCCAACCTATGATGGTGATTAGAAGAATTAAACTAACTAACCATTAACCTAGCTATTTACAAGTTTTGGGAGCTCTCTTGGGTTAAATCCTCCTAGCTCCGTCATATGATCGATGTTGAGTACCATCCTAGCTCGATTGAATCACTATCATACCGTTAGAAGATGGACTCCCTCGGGACGGACCCAGAACGGTGAAGTGATGGACGGGTGGTGCTCTATTCAGCCGAGGGCACCCCTATATCGTAGGAGCTCGATCCAATTGACTCCCTCGGGGATTACTCGGACGATATAGGATGAGGAGTGACCCAAAGATGCCAAGAAATGGGCTCTAAGGGGATTTTCTCCCTCCCAGGTCAAAATATTTTTGCATGAAAATGAAATCCAAACTCATTTCATTCATGAAAACCATCCATAACTTAGATAATAAACACAAACAAACATGGATTTGTCACATACAACACCACCCAATCAAAATCTAGACCTAGGGTTCTTAAACCCAAGAAAAGAGGGTGAGTTTCTAGAGAGAGAAGAGCGAGATTACAAATTGGAGAACAAGATCTTCTTCTTCTAGGCTTGAATCCTTGTCTTCAAGATCAACCCAAGCCTCCAATTAAACTCCAAGATCACTCACAAACTCTCTCTCTCTCTCTCTAGAACTCCCCTTTGGTGTTTTGGGTCGAAACCCTAGAGAAAGAAACTAATTCCTCTCCAAAAACTAGCTCCCATTTCTCTCCCCCCGCTGCTGTCTTTATATATGCCCGAAAGAGCCGAGTTCACAGTCTGGGGCTTCAGTTCACGGTCTAAGAGACCGTGAACTAGCTTGAGTCTAGTGAGACCGCAAACCGCGGTGAAAATTGGCCACTTCACGGTCTGGGGCTTCAATTCACGATCTTAGAGACCGTGAACTCATCACATGATCATATCACCCCCTGGGGGTGATTTTCAAGGTCTAAGGGTGTGGAATTTGCCTCTAGACTGTGAACAGTGCTCAGCCTACACTTTTTGGCTTTTTTGACCTCCGAATGACCCGAAACTTGTCCCGGACCTTCCCACACGTGCTAGGATCTGAAATGTAACAAAACAAGCACAACCTAGCATAAATTAGGTCAAGGGACGGTGATCTACTAAGAAAAATGGACAAGAGATGAGGGGTAAAATGTGTACAATTGGACCCGAATCACACTCCCACACTTGAACGTTTGCTTGTCCCCAAGCAAACCAAGTACAAAAGAAGGCAAGCTTACAACTTCTTTTTCAACAAAATTTTTGGGGCATGTCAAAAGGCACACAACAAATGAATCACAATGGTTCTTTGACACCGACCTATGGACAAAAACAAAGTAATCATGACAACCACCACAAATGACATTCAACTGTATTAAGATTGTGCAAAAGAAGAGTTCTCACATTTATTCACCAACCAACACACAACATGCCTCGATGAATCACCAATCACAGTTACTCATGCATGAAGGTCACA